CCGTGTTTATGGTCAGATTTGTTTCATATTTAGCGCGTATATTATTGTTATTATATTGCGCTGCGACCTAACTAGATCTATTGTGCTAACCATTAACTAGTCACTCCAACCTAAGGCCATTAATTAAATCAAACACTTTGGAGGATGTTATGTTCCATATTCGGGTAATCATTTTCCAAGGCGTATATGTAAGTCTAAGTCTAAGATGTTTTCTCCTCTACCCCACAAAACCTTCAGTTCGTCTCCTCAGAGAGTGCCATTTTGTGTAGATGGTACCTCAGTATGCAGTGCGTTGTCAGGTATCTGGTGAGAGTTATAAAACATTTAGCAGCTGCTCAGAGATTTCACGAGAGGAAGTTATGAATCTTTTGGTCTGCCTTTTGCCCTTTGTCGTTTGCCATTGGGTTGCAATTTGGAAGTCCTAACATCGCCTTAGGAGCTCTGCCGTGCATCCTCTGTATGGCCTGATAAGGCTCCATTGGGCACCGTATTTTGATGGAGTATCAGTCATTTCGTTGCCATCGAAGCCTTCGTTACCCGGAACCCACCACATGGTCATTCTGTTGTGGGTTCCTACTTTTTCCAGTGCCTTTTTGCAACTGTCTACCAGCTTTGACACCGTTTTGCAAGAGTCAAGTGCTGCTAAAGCTGCCTGGATATCCGGAATGATATAAATTGCCGCCCCATTAGTTCTTCTGCGAAGACATTGGTCGATATGGCTTGGATGCTCTTTTGAAATCTAGGTCCACAAAAGCCAGCCCTAGTGTTTCCATCCTCAAGTTTCGAACCATAAGGGTAGAGCGTATATTACTTAAGTGGGATAGAAATAACTCCACAAAACCTTAAGCCCTTAGGTGGTGCGGGGTTCGACTATTCTTCTTTTATTTATCGCTAATAAAAGCTTGTCTTTTTTTATATTACATATTTGTTTTCTGGTACAGTCTAATGTACATAGATATACATATATGTATACATACATATGTGTGTATGTATGTATGTATATACATATGTGCATATGTATGCCTTCGATATACGCAAATACCATGTATGTACGTACGTTTGCGTATGAACTGAAACCCATAGTTCTAATTCTTCTTTACTGGGCGTTCGCCATTCACACTGGACATCGACAATTTACCATTAAGGTCCACTCGGCCACTCGTCCACTCTTGCTTCGATCGTTGACCATTGGCGATAGCAGCTTGTTAGACGAAAAATACTGGGTGTTGCTACGCACTCAACGTGCCGCCGTCAATGGAGCCTAATAAGCCAGAATAAGAGAAAACACTCGCACAAAATTTACATGATCGATGGGTGTCAACGAGTGAACCTTTGGCTGACACGCCGACAACTGCTCGTGCTAATATGTAGCTCATTTGCTACCCGGTGACTCTGACAGTGACTATGGCGACTGTTCGGCCGTTATTGGTCATTCCAACAAAACCGCCTCAAATGACGCCTCAACTGCCGCCTCAATTGCTGACCAAGGCCCACACACACACATACAAACGTCCTTTGCCCATTTATCAACACTTATCGGTGCATTGAAAGGCAGGCGATGGCTGTTAAGAGTTCTGGCACAAAGGTGTGATTTTTTTGTTTTGAGAGGATTTCATTGTGTGCGCCTTATTTTTTTCTTATGGATTTGCCACTTTATATGAGCATAGTTTCTTCATTGAATTGAATTTTGCACATTGCATGTATGGACTGTTGTATGCGCCTATTGCATAATTACCCTCCTTAGCGTCCTGGCCAAATTGGCTTACCACACCATTAGCCATTGCGCTGGGTGCTAAATGAGTGCCGATAGTGGCGGTATTCTTCTATGATTTTTTTTTCAAGTCTGCGAAGTTGCTGGCCTGCAGCGTATCCAACGCATGCGCATTTAGTACTAAATTTGCTGAGCAGGTGTTTTTTTTACTTTATTAGTCTTTTTGCTAATGTGCCTACCAGCATGTGGTCAAAATAGCAGCAACCTAACAGCAAAGGTGTTTTTCAATAACGAGCTGCTGCTTGCATCCTTGCATTGGAATTGCAAACGAATTAAGTCAAAAGGCGAGTAGAGATTTCATTGGTTAGCCTGACATTCATAAAAACTGCTGTTTCGCAACTTGGCCATTCGAGCAATGTATAATATCCACTCTGCTGGCGGACACTCAGCATCTCCTCATCGTCCAATCAGCTCCGCTAGAAACTTTAGCATACCTTTCGAGAATGTCCTATCATAAACAGGCTGAGAGGTATAGTCAGTAAACTGATACTTACAAGAGGCTAGGGAGATGTCCACTTCGAATTGGGTAGAAGACGCAGCGAATATTTTTCTAGCTCATCCATAGCGTAGTTATCAAGGATGTTTCTGTAGCTTTTTCGTTCAAAGTACTTAGAAGGTGGTGTCCTTTGGTTGGAAATTCAGCTTTATAATAGGTCACTCAGTAGACGTAGAGGCTGTTAGTCCCATTTTACATTTTAATATTAACTCAGCCTGCAAAACACTGCAGTAGTGGGGTTGATGAAGATAGTTCTAGTTAGAGATCACTTAAGTGATTCTAATTGTCTTTTTTGTCCAAACTAATTCAAACATCGTCGATACTCTGGAGAATGCAATGTGGTATAGTCGTGTGCAACCTATGCGCGAGATGCGGTAACCAATCCGAGTGAAGCCTTGGCACATGGCAGAAAGAGATAGAGCTTTGGTGGGGCCACTCGGACTTATTCGGTTTAAGAGCTCACTGAAGTCTGCAGCGTCTGTTCAGCAGTAGCTGCGGATGCAAGCAGCTCGCTTTATAAACCCCTCTCCCAGCAATGGGATGGGACCTGCCATAAATATATATCATATCCAGTGAATAATGAAAATAAAGCCTCGGATGAGCAGCAAAAATGTGCGTCCAAAACTGCAAGAAAAGAAATCGCTACTCGGCTCTCACACCTGCGCTTATAAAGCACTCTTCAGCAAGCCAATATATGCGAGCAGTGTAACCGCAGTCCGATTTCAGCGAACCCGAATGAATAACTGGTACGATGAGGAGTGTCAAGAAAAATGCCGCCTACAGGGCAACGCTGCGAACGCGAGTCATGTGGGACCGTTACAGCGAACTGAAGAGGCAAGCGAGAGGTATTTGCCGTAATAAGAAGGAAGAGTCCGAAATACTGGAATTAGGCGACTTACGGAAGGTTTAAAGGCCAGGGCGGACTCTAGTAAGAACAACCAAAGCAACCTAGTCCCCGATGTTTAGAACGTACTTAGATTAGGGGGGGGAACATTTTTCCACTCTACTGAATGGTAGCAGCGAGAACGCGTGTGAGATTTAACAAAGCTGCTGGAACTGACAGCCTGCCAGCTGAGCTATGTAAGTACGGCGGCGTGAAGCTGATAAGATGCATGCATCAACTCTTATGTAGAATATGGTCAGATGAACGCATGTCCGAGGACTGGAATTTAAATGTGCTCTGCCCAATCCACAAGACCTCGCCATACGCGCCAACTACCGCGTAATCAACCTTCTAAGCATAAGTTGCAAGGTCTTATCGAGCGTATTATGTGAAAGACTGAAACCCACCGTCGACGAACTGGTTGCGCCTTATAGGTGTGGCTTTAGGCCTGACAAATCCACCATAGATCAGATAAAATACTCACGATCTATTTGTCGACTTCAGAGACGCTTTTGACAGCACTAAAAGCAGATGCCTATAAGACTGGAGGTCTGAATTTGGCATCCCCGCGAAACTGATACGGCTGTGTAAAATAACTTCGAGCAATACCACCAGCTCCGTCAGAATTGGGAGGACCTCTCCGAGGGTTTTAGATAGGATGACTCCCTTTTATGTGGATGAACCATCAGGCCCCTTGAGTGAACACAGCTTTGAGGTTCGGCCCCTTTTTAGAACTTTTATCAGCCTAGCGATGTGAACCTAGATTTCAATACCAGTACAGTATTAGTTTGAACGACAGCCTTTACGAAGAACGAATTAGCTTCCCTTTGTGTACAGCATTTGTTTCGAGAGCTTAATTTAAAGATTCCTCAAATCACTCTTCCACTTCTGAAACTCCCAATTCCACCAAAGAACAGGAGTGCAGCTGATGATTTTACTAGGCGGACAGGCCTTATCTCACACTCACTCTCACTGCTCTCCAGTTCAAAATTTTCCACCCATCTGGGAGTTGAATAGATCTAGATCAAGTCATGCCTTGGTAAGGGTGGTTGTTAGAGTCCCCGTGAGAAGCATGGTAGCACCGTTTTATACTGGGTATATTCAACTCAGAATCAGTTAGTCTAAAATATCCCGAATACATATTAGACCATTGCCACACACACTTCTAATACTTCTCGAACAAAAGGAAGGGTCCATTCCAAAACGTCAAAATACAAAGCATCAGTCTTTTTTATTTCCAAATTTCAGTAGATTGTAATGTCAAATGTGCGCAAAAACGGTTAGATGCTAATTTTAAACTAGGTTGCGCAAGTTAGACTTTTTCTTCTAGTGCGGTTTGGAAAAAAAGAGGCTGATACTTTGTATTTTGACGTTTTGGAATGCACCCGAACATAGACACCCAGCTACACCTGCAAGTCGTTTATATTTGAATTGATCTACGGTTCCGCTGACTAGTTTATTTATGTCATTAAAAATAATACAAAAGTTGTAAAATATTTGTTCCGTGGCCAGCTGGTGGTAGCAGGGGAAGGTTAGTAAAAAAAAAAAAAATTCAGTTGTTTAATTAAAAAATGTATGACACAGAAAACAATTTAATTTAAAAGAGAAAAAATAGAAAACAAATAAAATGAAATTAAATAAAAACGCATTTTGAAAAAGTAAATTATAAAGTTTTTTGATAAAGGAAAAAATATTTCCGGATGTTGATAAAAAAGAAAACTGTTTCTCATCTTTATGGCACCAAGTGTCTATTGAAATTGATTCGCGATCACTTGGCTTCCTTCCGAGAATTTTCTCTCCCTCCTCCCTGGCACGTTGCAAATGCAATGGAATATGGCAAATGACGTGTGGCGGATAATGGTAGAGGGATTCCACGCAATTTTAAAAATTTTTTCAATTCAATAATTATTAAAAACCGCATCGTCGAAAACAAACCGCGGTCACCGGGCGTCGAACCTTCGCCACGTTGATCGCTAACATTGCAGCTAAACGCACTCGGCTACCTAGCAACCGTGCAAGTTTACGAAATTTCGTAACTTCAACATTTAGGTGAACATTTTTGCTTTGTGTTGTTTTGGTGAACTTAACAGCGGCATCTTCTGGAGCTGAGTAAGCAAGATTGGTTTAAGTTTTAGCTAAACTTCCATCAGATAACGTATATAAATTTATATACGTTCTCTGCTAAAGCCCTGTTCGCGTACCAGAGAACGTATAGAGAGAGAGGTCTCTGATGTAATTCACTTTCTTTCACATTGTAATTCTCTGTTCACATTAACAAAATAATCGTTTGTGGTGCTTTTAGAGTTACAATTGACAAAATAAAGCTATTTAAATATATAATAAGATGGAAAATACTAGTTTTCGAAGAAAAATTTAATCGGAAAATATGAAATTAATCAGCTGCTTATAAAACTAGCAACTTCTTGCTGGTTTTGCGTTTGTGTACTTTCTTTAATATTTCTCTCATTGGGAGTAAATATTGGCTTACTCTCCGAAATTTGGTTACTGGCAAGTTACTGGATATTTTTTGCTAAAGAATACGAAAAGACAATTTAAAATAAAAATGGAAGGCAGAACAACAAGTGTGGAGAAAGAAATGGTAAACGGGGAAAGGAGCGGGCTTTTGTACATTTGCTTGCTTGCCGAAAATATCATGTTTGCGTGAAATCGATTTGCTGATTGCAAATTGATTTTTGCAAACATGTTTGAATTTTTCCATTTCGGGTAAACATGTATGAATTTTTCTATCTCAGCTAAATTTATAAGATTTTCTAAGGCAATATTTTGTCTTTTTTGGACAATTCGCATGAGCCGATTTTGCAGGCAATTTTAGAGGCGATCAGTTGAATCAAAAGTTGGCTACATCCCAATTTCATTGGAAGCGATTAGTTAAAAGTAGAGTTGCAAAACTATCGATGGCACTATCGATAGTTTCAATTTGACACCACCATCGATGAATGGTAGACCCTATCGCGACACTATTGGAAACAAAAAATTGCCAAAACTCCACAGTAAGCCCTAGCTACCAACACCACCTAGCTAGTAACACCACCACGGCGAATTTATACAAGGTGGTGTTGATGGCGAATTTAGATTTTCGCCGAGGTACGTCTTAATGTCAATATGATGTGTTTGTTGTAAAATGAATTCGCCTTGTTTACAACAAACACATTATTTTGACAGTCAGTAGTACCGCGGCCAAAAATTTAATTCGCCATCAACACCACCTTGTATAAATTCGCCTTGAACACCACCTTGTATAAATTCGCCTTGAAGCATGGCTTTTATCGCAATCACCTGTAAATACAGCTTGGTCACGTACAGGATATTTTGCTCTCTACGTCCGTCAACCTACGTTTACGCTGCGTCGTTGTGTGCCCGCGCCCTTATACTTGACAGTGTACGATAAGAAGGTGAATTCGGCTGATAACTCAAAAACGGGCAAGTCATTTCACTTAATCTGTAACTAAAAACTTCATTCTAAATGCTTTAGGTGGCATTCGCTTAAGATAGCAGTCCAACCAGCAGCGTTCGAAATCAGCCATTGATTTAATAAATGGCTAGGCAGCGACGCAATGTTAGCGCAGCTGGCAGCAGCACGAATTCAAACACTGGCAACAGCACTGCCAGCAAGTCCAGTGGGAGCAATCCGCAAACGCCAACAAATGCTGCAACCAATAACCCAAGCAAAGGCAGCAAAAGTTCCGCCAAACACAAGAAGAGTGACTCGCACTCGACAAACAGCAGCGGAGGCAACAGCAATTCTAGTTCTAGTACAACGTCCTCTCCTAACCCCGGAGCAAATAAGTCAAAAGGAGCACACAAGAATCGTAACAGTTTCTCATTATGGCCCAATATAATGTTGGACAAATGGAAAACGCTAATAGGTTGTGTTTGCTTGGGCGTTGCATCCTATTTTGGCTACTTGGGTTACCTAGAAACGCGTGTAAATACTCCATTCGATAATGAAAAGATGGTAACACGCACAGGATTGGACGACCCCGAGCGTTATTGGGGTTCATATAGGCCAAATACTTATTTTGGGATGAAAACACGTGACCCGCACTCCTTGGTAATGGGGCTGATGTGGTATAGTCCGTACAATTTGGGACATGGGGGTAGAGGCATACGCCACTGGTGTGAAATAGGGGACAACTTGGAAAAATACGGTTGGACGCATCATGATGGCCGCACATTTGGTGTGCAAGAAATACGTGATCAGCCATTTGAACTGAAGACTTCTTTTGTTAAATATCCGACTGGTAAACAATTCGGAGGCGATTGGACAGCGCGTATATCTGCGCAAAATATTTCGAAAACATTCGATCGCACATTTTCATTGATTTGGTATGTAGCGCTAGATGAACGCACCAATGGGCAAATTAGGTACGTTTCCAACGACAACAGTCCTGAGGCAGGTGTCTATGGCGAGACACTTGGACTGGGAGAGTTCAAGGTATGTTATTTTATTATTTCATTTTCATTGCGAATAGCTGAAATGTTTTACCATTTATGCAGGTGCGTTTCCATCCAATTAAAGGTAGAGTTCTACATAAATCCTATTTGAGCACAGTAGCTCCATCGCTTAGCAAACTGAAGGAAACTGTCTTCGCACACTTCCGCGTATTTTCTGATAGCCAGGGCAGGCGGTTTATTGGATTGCCAGGAGAAATGATTTCGCAAAATGGCGCGCTTCCGGACGAGCCCAATTTCATTGCCATACAAATCACCACTGAAGTGAATTTTACAATGGATATCACTTATCAGTCCACATCTGGTTATTCACACGGTGAGAGTATATCCAAACCGCCCACAGCTAAAGAGTTTACCAATTCTTTGCAAGATAAATTGGCTGATTTCGATACGCAATTTGAGGGCACATTCCATTTGCAGGCCAAGGGATATTCAGCTGACGAAATAAAATTCGCAAAATATGCAGTGAGCAATCTAATAGGCGGTATCGGCTACTTCTATGGTTCAAGTAAAGTAAAATCAGTATACACTAAAAAACCAGTACCTTATTGGAAAGCTCCATTGTACACCGCTGTACCGTCACGCTCCTTCTTTCCACGCGGTTTTTTGTGGGATGAAGGCTTTCAATCCTTAATTATAGCATCTTGGGATTTGGATATTGCATTGGATATTATGTGTCACTGGTTTGACCTACTCAACATTGAAGGATGGATACCGCGAGAACAGATTTTAGGTGTAGAAGCACTAGCGAAAGTACCAGATGAGTTTGTAGTTCAACACAATAGCAACGCCAATCCGCCCACGTTTTTCCTCACACTTGACAAAATACTTACGCATCATAAGAAAGAGCTTTCGGTGAAGGGGCGACTCGACATATTGGAGCGTCTGTACCCTCGTTTACAAGCATGGTTTTCATGGTACAATACTACACAACGTGGTGAAATATTGGGCACATACTATTGGCGCGGACGAAATGCTTCTAGCGAGCTTGAATTGAACCCCAAAACCTTAACATCCGGATTGGATGACTTCCCACGTGCCTCGCATCCCACCAGCTATGAACGACATGTCGATTTGCGTTGCTGGATTGCACTAGCAGCAAGGGTGATGAGTGATTTATCTGACATACTTGGAAAAGATAGCATTAAATACTATGAAACAGCATCATTTCTGGCAGATAACAAATTGCTAAATGAGCATCATTTGAGTCCATTCATAGAGACCTATACAGACTGGGGGCTGCACACAGATGCGGTAGTACTTAAACGTCCAAAGGTGACAAAACAAAACTTTATGAGAAATCAGCAACCACAATTGGAAATGGTGCGTGTAACTCTAAAGCAACCCGAGCGGCAATTTGTCGACTCGACATATGGCTACGTGAATTTATTCCCATTTCTATTACATATACTCGATCACGATTCAGAGTACTTAGGTAAGTTGCTCAGCAATCTCCGTGATCCAAATGTACTATGGACGAATTACGGGATTCGTTCGTTATCCAAGAACTCGCCGTTGTACATGAAACGCAACACTGAGCATGATCCACCATATTGGCGTGGTCCAATTTGGATAAACATAAACTATTTAGCGATAAGAGCGTTACACCACTACGGTACCATTGAGGGACCATATGCTGCGCTGGCACGGGAAATCTACGCTGAACTGCGCGAGAATGTTGTTGGAAATATATTCCGTGAATACAAGAGAACCGGTTATCTGTGGGAACAGTACGATGACACCACAGGACACGGAAAAGGCTGCTATCCTTTCACGGGCTGGACCTCGCTGGTTGTACTAATTATGGCAGAGACATATTAAATTCATTAGGCGATTTATGATTTATAACTATAAGTTTTTAACTGCACAGCATAACTGAAATTGCATGAAATGCCAATTTACCGAAGTTGATCTCTTATCACCCCAAAAGCATTTTCTGCCGATTTCCATGATATGTAATGTGTAGAGTTTAATGAGTAAATGTAAATGTAGCAATAATAATAAGGCCAAAAATTACGAAAGTTACGAACAATAAACGAAAAATAACCTAGCAATTAGAGTGCAAGTTCTTTGGGTGGTAACAATTCGAAGGGTAATCATCCGAGATTGGATCGCATTGTAGAGTATAAAAGCGTTGTTGTTGTTGTTGTAGCGGCTTCAACAACCCTGCCCAGATCGGTTAATATCTCAGTCGTTGTCGTCAAGCTCCACTAACGGAATCCCAGGAAGCGTGCAGCCTCAATGTAGTCGGTCCACAGGGACAAAGAAGTCAGTGCTGTCGTGTTTTCCGGGTATACGAAGAGATGTTTCGAGTCGTGGGGTGTCTCTCCTGGTCTGACACATCGAGCAGCTTGTCAGAGGAAGCAAGAGTTGTTGGCGGCGGTGTGTGGGTGGTCGTGCGGTTGGGTCTGTGGTGTGGTTGTTGTTGTTGTTGTAGCGGCTACAACAACCCCGCCCAGGACGGTTGGTATCTCAGTCGTTGTCGTCAGGTTCCACTAACGGCAACCCTAGGGGGCGTTCAGCTTCTGTGGGGTTTGTCCACAGGGACAAGGCCGTTAGGGTTGTCGGGTTTTCCGGGCATGCGAAGAGATGTTTCGAGTCATGTGGGGTCTCTCCGCATGCCGGACACTCATTCGGCACATCCTCATTCAACCTACTCAAGTAGGAGTTTAACCTGCTGCAGTAGCCGGAGCGAAGTTGTGCGAGTGTTGTCCGAGTCTCCCGAGGCAGATGAAGCTCCGTCTCGTCTATGTCCGGGGGTGGTATGCCTAGAACGGCATTCACAGGTCTAGAGTCTACGTAACTCGAGACTGAGTCCCTGTGAATGCCGTTCAGGGCCTGTCGGTAAGCTGTCGGGTCCAGAGGTTGCTTGATGAACCTCTGGACTTCGTCTGTCAGTTCATATAGATGCCTCCTGACGTGCCTAGGCGATGGCTCCTCTGCAAGCAGCTGTTTGCTTGGGTGGCCACTTCTGTGGCTCCCGATCAGGAACTGCTTGCAGAGCTTTATATTGTTCTCCTTTACGGGGAGCATTTGCGCCTCGCCGTGTAGATGGTGTTCGGGCGACATCTGGAGGTCTGTTGTATCGGTGCTGTGGTCTGTTGTATCGGTGCTGTGGTCTATTGTGTTGTGGTGCGGCAGTGTTTGTGCTGATTAGGCGGGCTCTGGTGTGTCGTGGAGGCTGGTCGGTGCGAGCAGTAAGGGGCCACGTATGAAGTGGTCCACTTGCCTGTGAGCCCAAAAGGCCTGAGCAAACTCGGAGGTGACTCCACCCGTTGTAGGAGTTGCACCTGACAGAGGTGGAGTTATGGTGTAGTCGTCTCTGCCACGCGACGCAGGTATAGGTTTCTGGCCCAGGGTTTGACTCGATGCCAGCCCTGAACAGAAGTATGCGAAGCAGATGTAGCCCTACAACAACTTTTAAGGGATCTCGCCAACCTTCGCCTATCGGCTAGGACGATGTTGTCCTTTCGGGTGCTGAGATTCGTCCTGACTGCATCAGTTTATAGGTGGTTAGGTGTCGCTCTGTATTTTTCTACGTCGAATGGGTGGTCTATGCACGGCTCAACGTAGGGTTTCCAGCCGCGCAGGTGCTGTCTGACATGTCGGGGGTGGATCCTTTCGAAACAGGGTGTTGTTGGGATGATTTCCACGATGGCATTCCACGAGAAACTGCCTCGATGGCAAGGTGTTATGCTCTTCCACCGCCAGCATCTGGCTTTCTTGGTGGAGGTGATGCTTGGGTGACATGAGATGGCAACCTGTAACCGTGCGTAGAGCTGCATTCTGGCAGGTTTGTAAATTTCTCTACTGTGTGTGCCTGCCGACCACACTGGCGCTGCGTAGTTTGCCACCGACTG